CCCAGATAGGTCGTAGAATTAATACGTTAAATTAGCAGTGTCCCAGATAGGTCGTAGAATGAACACGTTAAATTTGCAGTGTCCCAGATAGGTCGTAGAATTAACACGTTAAATTAGCAGTGTCCCAGATAGGTCGTAGAATGAACACGTTAAATTAGCAGTGTGCCAGATAGGTCGTAGAATTAACACGTTACATTAGCAGTGTCCCAGATAGGTCGTAGAATGAACACGTTAAATTAGCAGTGTCCCAGATAGGTCGTAGAATTAACACGTTAAATTAGCAGTGTCCCAGATAGGTCGTAGAATGAACACGTTAAATTAGCAGTGTGCCAGATAGGTCGTAGAATGAACACGTTACATTAGCAGTGTCCCAGATAGGTCGTAGAATGAACACGTTAAATTAGCAGTGTCCCAGATAGGTCGTAGAATGAACACGTTAAATTAGCAGTGTCCCAGATAGGTCGTATAATGAACACGTTAAATTAGCAGTGTCCCATTGCACTGTAAAGAAAATGCTACCAATTAACCAACATAAAGTACATTATAAAGGAACTCACATAAATCAAAGATAATTATATTTTAAAAGGTCAAAACCATAAAAGTGCGACACCGGGGATCAAAGTGTGATGACAACAAAGTTGTAAAAAAAAAAAAAACATCAGTGGATCCAAACAACGTGTTTTGCATTTTTGTCATCATATATTAATTGCGAACAGAAATAATGACTGGTAGACCAATGGGCTCCTGTAGATCAGTCAGAGGCGTAGCAAGTGGGGTTTGGTTGGCGGTCCGCACCCGAAGGAACTTTTCTCTCTCTCTCTCTCTCTTCGAATAAAAGGGCCGTATTTTTGGTGCAGGGTTTTTTTGTTGTTATTTTTTTTGGGGGGGGGGGAGGGGGTGAGAGTATTAATAGCATCAAAAAGTTTAACATGCCTATGACTCTACTAATCCCCAAAAGTTTAACATGCCTATGACTCTACTAACCCCCAAAAGTTTAACACGCCTATGACTCTACTAACCCCCAAAAGTTTAACATGCCTATGACTCTACTGACCCCCAAAAGTTTAACATGCCTATGACTCTACTAACCCCTAAAAGTTTAACATGCCTATGACTCTACTAACCCCCAAAAGTTTAACACGCCTATGACTCTACTAACCCCCAAAAGTTTAACACGCCTATGACTCTACTAACCCCCAAAAGTGTAACATGCCTTTGACTCTACTAACCCCCAAAAGTTTAACATGCCTATGACTCTACTAACCCCCCAAAAGTTTAACATGCCTATGACTCTACTAACCCCCAAAAGTTTAACACGCCTATGACTCTACTAACCCCCAAAAGTTTAACACGCCTATGATTCTACTAACTCCCAAAAGTTTAACATGCCTATGACTCTACTAACCCCCAAAAGTTTAACACGCCTATGACTCTACTAACCCCCAAAAGTTTAACACGGCTATGACTCTACTAACCCCCAAAAGTTTAACACGCCTATGATTCTACTAACCCCCAAAAGTTTAACATGCCTATGACTCTACTAACCCCCAAAAGTTTAACATGCCTATGATTCTACTAACCCCCAAAAGTTTAACACGCCTATGACTCTACTAACCCCCAAAAGTTTAACATGCATATGATTCTACTAACCCCCCAAAATTTAACACGCCTATGACTCTACTCACCCCCAAAAGTTTAACACACCTATGACTCTACTAACCCCCAAAAGTTTAACACGCCTATGACTCTACTAACCCCCAAAAGTTTAACATGCCTATGACTCTACTAACCCCCAAAAATTTAACACACCTATGACTCTACTGACCCCCAAAAGTTTAACACGCCTATGACTCTACTGACCCCCAAACGTTTAACACGCCTATGACTCTACTAACCCCCAAAAGTTTAACACGCCTATGACTCTACTAACCCCCAAAAGTTTAACACGGCTATGACTCTACTAACCCCCAAAAGTTTAACACGCCTATGACTCTACTAACCCCCAAAAGTTTAACACGCCTATGACTGTATTAACCCCCAAAAGTTTAACATGCCTATTGCCTATGACTCTACTAACCCTAAATATGCCATTGATATCAGGGTGTTTTTTAAAAAATAAATTTTGAACAACAGGGCGTGCATTGAGGAAAATAAACCAAATGGAACTACACAACAACAACAAACTTGCTCTTGTATATCAGGCGAATAGAGAAACCAGGTACACTTTCAACAACAAAAAGGGGAACATGAAATGTACCCAAAAAGAATATTATCCACAACTTCATATACAGCTCACATTTAATGATTTTATGCAGATTAAGGCGACTGAGTCCCCTGACTCCAAGCTGCGTATTAACCGTACTGTCCTAGAACAGAGGATCCCAACAGGTGGGTCGGAATCCTTTGGGGATTAAACTACCCTATCACTTGGGTCGCCTAAGACCATCGGAAAACATATACTCTATAGTTATGAAGTAGCAAAAAAATAATTTTATGGGGGGTGGGCACCACGACATGAGGAACTTTAGTCGCGACATTAGGAAGGTTGAGAACCACTGTCCTATATTGAGTTTGATGTGGGTCTCGTGTAGGAATCATTAGAAGTCAACACCAGTTCTGAAATACTATGTAACCGAGCTCTAACAAACAAAGTTTGATACGAAGGACTGAGGTCATCACGGCGGCACTAGATGACAAGAGAAATTTGTTTTCAGTCTGTTTGATCCAGCTTGGTTGCCAAATGAGGCCATCAAAACAAATGAGATAGTTATTACAAGAGATAATTACGGTCATCTGTTACCTACAGCACAACATGACGTCAAAACATGAACAATCATAATTATATCATTAGTTAGTTAATGTGAACTATAGATGTACAGCTTCTCCTTGCATCCAGATGATGGTCGACATTTTTTTAAGAAAATAACTTTCACATTTTTTGTTTCTTTTTTGTGAGGGTTTTCTGTTTTTATAACTAAAAGGAACAAAAAATGTGATGTTTACATCATCTCAGAGATTTAATAAGCTGGGACTTGGCACATTTTTCCTTCAAAGATTTAGGGGATTTCTTGTCCGCCTCCAACAGAGTTGTCAATCGTTGGGGAAAAAAGGGGGGACGGGGGGATCTCGGCCTGACCATGTCGGAACTAATCTTAGCTACGCCACTGCCACAATTGAAATATATGTATGGATACTTTTACTCCATGCGTCCAGTTAACAGGTGTCATTGCAATGCTGCCTTATCCTCCCTTAGCAATAAATTAAAGTGTTATTGTCACCCCACAGTCAGAAGTAGTAAGTGGTCACTCTTTTTTTCCCCACCACAAATAGAATATGTGCAGTGTGCATAGAATTGAGATGAGTGCGGTGTGCATAGAATTCGTTCATATTTTTTTTTCAAACTATTGTCCGGCCCCCACCAAAATCCGCCTCTTTGTTTATACTGTCATGTTTGAGGACCCCCCCCCCCCGGCTAAAAGATTAAATCTCAGGTAAGGCCTTCGACTGCTTCATAAGATTTTAATTGTCTTTTTAAGTGAATGTGTTTTTGTTTTCAATCCAGTTGTTTCTTGGGAAAAGCTTAAAGACTTTTAGTTTGTTAACACTTTAGAGTGGTCATGGAAATAAAAGTTCTCGATGAAGCTAACAACTGGTAACATCATGTCCATCTCTGTATAAGACTGACAGGCCTGGAAATGGTTGACCCAAATTCAAAGCTCAGCTGTTGAGAAATTTGGGGCTTTAGTTGTTCAGTGTGTCTAAAAGTAAATATTTCCTCATCACAGTTTATACCTAAAGAAATTGGTTGTTATTAGTTGACGTCATCGTCAGCCTTTTATGTCATCATGTTGTCAGGTCGTCAGGTCATCAGCTCTGTCAGGTCGTCAGAATCTCAGGTTGTCAGGCCCTCTGGTCATCAGAGTGTCAGGTTGTCAGACTGTCTGGTCATCAGAGTGTCAGGTTGTCAGACGTCTGGTCATCAGAGTGTCAGGTTGTCAGACCGTCTGGTCATCAGAGTGTCAGGTTGTCAGGCCATCTGGTCATCAGAGTGTCAGGCCCTCTGGTCATCAGAGTGTCAGGTTGTCAGACGTCTGGTCATCAGAGTGTCAGGTTGTCATGCCGTCTGGTCATCAGAGTGTCAGGTTATCATGCCATCTGGTCATCAGAGTGTCAGGCCCTCTGGTCATCAGAGTGTCATGTTGTCAGACTGTCTGGTCATCAGAGTGTCAGGTTGTCAGACCATCTCGTCATCAGAGTGTCAGGTTGTCAGGCCGCCTGGTCGTCAGGTTGTCAGGCTGACTGGTCGTCATGTTGTCAACACCAGAGCCACTGATTTATGACCCCCTCTGTTTGACTTGCCCTGTGTTTTTCTGTGGCATTGGGACAAGCTGTTGCCGGTTGGGTCTCTAAATCCTTGTGTACAATGCAGTCAAATCATGTGGGACAGTTTTATTCAAGGACATCTAAAAGTATATAAATAAGGTCCACATATCGACGTCAGTGTCAACGCATTTACTTGTGAGACCTTCTAAAAAGTAAAACAAAAATGCTATATAAGATGTTCATTGTTTAAAGACATTTCTTTTAAAATTCCAAGTTTAACGTTAAAAACAGCGTTGCATTGACTTGCTTTCATGTGATAAGATTGAGTTTTAAGTAGCTCAAACACAGAGCTAACCATTCTTTTATTAACAAAAGATCACTTATACCGTTAAAATAATCCCTATGTAGTTGTAGATTTAAAAAAGAAAATATATATTATGTTTATTTATAATTACGCAGAAGGGTTTATTAAATTATGGTATCGGTTATTTTTGAATGGTCTTGCCAGACCACGGATCTCACGAACTGTTACAGCTTAATATGGCTTTTGAGCGTATGACAAAGAATGAAAATAGACTTAATTTTTTTTTACTTGGATGTGTATAGTTTAAGTATTAATGAATTTTAGCACGATGTATTTAATACATAATTTAATTTCTAGGCAGATATCAACCAGAATGAAGGGATTCCTCGCAACCTGTGTCTTGTTCTCTCTTGCTGGACTATTGCTAGCCGAGCCGTGCGAGCACAATGGGGTGACCTATAAGGTGAGCTCGTGGTTCTAATTGTTTTAATTAAAAGGTCATGAACTGAAGTATGTGAGTTTCTATTTCTAAATCATATTAAAGAATAAATCGATCTTATGTCTCGACTATAACAGTAATATGAGGGTCAAAACTGCCCTTCAAACATAACTGATTATATGAGTCACAATTGTAAATATAAGAATTATCTTGTACATATAACCTATCATAATTATGAATATATCTTTCAAACAGATTTTAAAATTTAGTAATCATATTTATATAATTCGCCAGCAAGGGTCAAACACCACTACGCAGGCTATATATAGATACGCCAGAGTGTAGTTCAATAATGAGTTCACTAGCGCGCAAAATATAATTCCCCATAACTACGTTAAACGATATAATTTTTTTTTAAATAGCGCAACTGTGTTTGGTGCGTAATATTTTCTTTTCGTAAATGAAATCGTCTCAATTTAAGTATTGTGTAAAAATATTCGGTTTATATTAATATAGTTTAGGGGCGTGAAATAAAAAGTGTGCAGTGACGTATCAGGGGGGAAGGGGTGTAGCAAATATTGGGATTCTTAAATGTGCGTTACTTGAGTTCATGTTTTGTCAAGTAACATTGTAGATGGGATGTTCACACCGCCAATGTTTGGCGGGCTCTATCTAGTATATAATATTTTACTCTTTTTTTTATATAGGTAATTCCAACTTAACACATTGTTTTAACACATACTATTTTTACAGTTACTTTAAATTAAAAATATATAATGTATATAACAATGCGATTGAAGCAAAACTATTTCCGTGTTGCAGCCTATGGACGTATACCAGAAGGACCCATGCACCACGTGCTACTGTAGTAAAAAATCGGAAGCTGACTGTAATATCATCCAGTGTGATTGGCCGCGGTGCGAGCATGGTGTCTCGCCAGTTACCTTCGAGGGTGAATGCTGCCCGGGCTGTCCTTGACCTGGTTGTCAATTTGAGACGTATTTCACATCTTTAACACGCTGCTATTGAAATAAATTGATGTTTAAACATTGGCCATTGTGTGACTTTTTAAACGCGACCGTACATTAAACTTAAAGCCTTCCAGTTACAGTTGTACCACGTCAGAGTCTGTGACGTATTTGACATAAGGCCTTCCAGTTATAATTGTATGACGTCAAAGTCTGGGACTCGTTTAAAACTGTTGTCAGGCTAGACGATTGTTAGACGAGGTCGGGTGAAAGGAAAGACGGGGCGTCATAAAAGACATATGACATTATCGATCTGTGCCGGCACCTGGTGAAAACCTTTCGTCGTTGACACCAGAGGAGAATCATGTACTGTCCAGCTGACGGCTATCTGAACAGATTTGATACTAGTAGGGATCCAAGATGCATACAATAGTCACATGAGATTATTGGCAAAGCGTTTTATCGCCTGACATTAATTGAAACTGGAGGGGGGTTTGAGGTGCGAGTTTTTGGGGGCAAAATGTGTATGGCAAGGGAGAGGGCAGAAAAAAAGTAAACAGCTTGGACCATAAATAATTTTTAAATTCGTCGAAAGCAAGATTGCAATTGTAAGTATTTTCCAATGTCATCCCTGCGGTGCTACATACAGACACTGAATGGCTTTGTCCTGCCTCACCACATCTTTCCATCGATTCCTGTGACCCTACAGCCCATGCAGGGCTTTGTCCTGCCTCACCACATCTTTCCATCGATTCCTGTGACCCTACAGCCCATGCAGGGCTTTGTCCTGCCTCACCACATCTTTCCATCGATTCCTGTGACCCTACAGCCCATGCAGGGCCTTGTCCTGCCTCACCACATCCTTCCACTTCCACCTAACTGATAATTTTATTTTCCATGCTTTGATTCCCATTTTCCGTAGATATTTTTCCACATCATCCATCCACCTAAGCCAAGGTCTACCTTTGAGTCGTTTTCCTCTGAGGTTTCGGTGGTGCACCCTCTTCACTCCTGTCAAGTGGCATCCTCTACACCTTTTCGATTACTATTACTTTTAAATTTTTCATGCCAATTGACAATTTTAAAAGAAAAATACGTTATACGCGTGTATCGTAAATTTCGATGAAGATCTGCTTGAATGGCATTTGCTTTCCAAATGTATCAAATATAAAGAAATGTCTTTATTACCGACTGGTTCGAATTTACTTTGAGCAAATCATAAAAAATTCATTTTGGAAGATAAAGGGTTAATTTGAATAAAGAATTTCTCGATTCACATAAGAAAAGCATTTCAATAACTGTGTTTATCATAATTGATGTTAACGGTGCGGTTCTTTATCGGCAGTGTAATCAGGTGACCTAAATCAAGAACGTCGAAATAATCGTATACATTTTTCTCAGTAAATGTTTGAAGTAGATAATTTTACGACGGAATGTTCTTAACTGCGTGCTAAAAAAATTATTGTGACATAATGACATGGCGGGTTCAAAATATCGGCAACACGGGCAGCTGGCCGGGGTGTCATGTGCCTAGCGCGCCATCAACAATCTTCCAAAATAGTAACACATGTAGGCGCCATGGAAGAAAAATAGAAAATTTTAATATAAAGATTTGATGATGTCAAGGTTATACAAAAAATGTCATCGGTAGGGTAATTGTTCATTCTGCCCAAGGTAGGCTAATGGCTCATACTGACCACGGTAGGCTAATGGCTCATACTGACCATGGTAGGCTAATGGCTCATACTGACCATGGTAGGCTAATGGCTCATACTGACCATGGTAGGCTAATGGCTCATACTGACCATGGTAGGCTAATGGCTCATACTGACCATGGTAGGCTAATGGCTCATACTGACCATGGTAGGCTAATGGCTCATACTGACCATGGTAGGCTAATGGCTCATACTGACCATGGTAGGCTAATGGCTCATACTGACCATGGTAGGCTAATGGCTCATACTGACCATGGTAGGCTAATGGCTCATACTGACCATGGTAGGCTAATGGCTCATACTGACCATGGTAGGCTAATGGCTCATACTGACCAAGGTAGGCTAATGGCTCATACTGACCATGGTAGGCTAATGGCTCATACTGACCATGGTAGGCTAATGGCTCATACTGACCATGGTAGGCCAATTGTTCATTCTGCCCAAGGTAGGCTAATGGCTCATACTGACCATGGTAGGCCAATTGTTCATTCTGCCCAAGGTAGGCTAATGGCTCATACTGACCATGGTAGGCCAATTGTTCATTCTGCCCAAGGTAGGCTTAATTGCTCATACTGACCATGGTAGGCCAATTGTTCATTCTGCCCAAGGTAGGCTTAATTGCTCATACTGACCATGGTAGGCCAATTGTTCATTCTGCCCAAGGTAGGCTTAATTGCTCATACTGACCATGGTAGGCCAATTGTTCATTCTGTCCAAATACAAGTTAAGAAAATGATTTTATTGTTCATTCTTTGTTTAAAAAATAACCAAGCTCATAAACTCATTACTTAATCCGCAGTTTTTTGCTTAAACATATTATTTTTGCTTTTACTTGAAAGGGGGCGCCAAAGTTAAAAAGCTTTCCCGGGGCATCAGCAAAAGTAGGGCCCGCCCTGAATTTCATTTGTCATTGCCGCATCCAATCAATGCAACTGCATTCAAATTTTCATCAGGTGATCTCGTTCGATGGGTTGAACTCACAAACTTTATTTTTGAAAAGGTTTGCTCATAGAAACAAGCTGTTCCCAACACTGATGCTATACCAGCGGCAAAATTCTTCAGTTTCGGTAACTCAACATCAGGTAGGCAGGGGTAAAATTCAACAGGTTTTCCTTCTCGGTGCTTCTCTTTCAATAAGTAAATTGCTTGCAAATCAATGAGCTCCAACTGTATTTCAATAGGCACATCACCAAATTACAATCAGAGGGAATCTAGAACAGGTGAAGGTCGCTCTCATTTCTGATCTAAAAATATCTTCAAAGAAAGCTTCTTCAAGTCATGAATACTATTTTCCGGAAAAAACAAGAGGGTTATCTTTGGAAATTATAGCGCAAAATTATTTGAAACAGAAAATGAGACAAGTTTTCTCCTTCCAGTTGTGCTTTAAACAACGACATCTTGTCCGAAATCGTTTGACGATTCTATAGAAATCATAGATGAGTTTATCCTTTCCCTGAATTTTTAAGTTCACTTTACTCATGTGGGATGTACAGTCGACCAAAATTGACAACTTTGACAGCCACGTAGGATCTGACAGCTGTTGATCAGCTCTTTCTTCAGCGGGAAAAAACATCTATTTGGTTTCGACATTACAAAAACAAAACTGTACTTTACCGGAGCTGAGCCACCTTATTGCTAAAGCAAATCGCAGAATTCAGAGCATATTTCTTCAGCAAAAGGCTGGAACTGATGATGACTGAGTGCATGTCCCTGAATGATGTTCCAAGCAGAAACGTCAGGGAAATGGTAAATTTACGCTCATAACAGCCAGGAGTTCTCCAAACGTTTGAACATTTTCTAGTATTCTATGCATAATATTAAAACATAAATTGTATCGTAACGTCGTGTGTTCCATACGCTTTGTCAAGCGAATTAAAGTACCATCTTCGGGTCTGCTAAACAGATGTAACGGGCCTCACAGCAACGCAGGCCGTAGTTTGGTGACTCTTGGTGTAGTCAAAGAACTATTAAATTGGCAATATTCATACATTGATGGAGGTGGTCGGGTGAGGAATAAAAAGTTACGAATTTGTGAAGAGGAAGATTTCAGGCAAACCCTCACTTTTTCAGGATCAAATTAACACTTTGATAGAAATTATATTAAAAACGTTTATTTTTAATAATGAAGGGTTGTAGTCGAATAAAATTCCAAATATTTATATTACAGGCAAAACGTCTATTTCAAAAAAAAAATTACAACGCAAAAAAGTAGTTATATCAATTACAACCCTTGTAAATTTGTTCAATTCTCAAGGTAATCAAATTTTTGAGTGTCAATTTATTAGAATTTCAAAAACATCATTCATCATTAGATATATTTAACTTGGAAAAAAATTATGAAAAGTTCCTCAGACACTTACTGACAGTGTATTTAATATTTTAAATGTCTTTTATGAAACTATAAATATATTCAAACAAAGAAAATATTTCATATCCGCGTTTTTTTTCCAAACAGCTTTGTAAGTGTATCCTTCATAAGATCATGCATTTTATTGTATGGTGCATACATTTGTACCCCTTTCTTCTTCTAATTTTCTTCTCATCTCTTCTTGTGCTCGTAATAGTATTTTCATCCTTTCATCATTTTCTTTTAAATGTTGTCTCATTATTTCATCTCGTCGAGCTGTTTCATTTCTAAAGTTTTCCCATTCTTCCAATATTTTTTTGTTTATCGTTATATTCTTTTCAAGATTCAACTTTAGGGACCAAACTGTGTCTCTTTGGTCTTTGTAAACATCCGTTCCTTGGTCTTCTCTAATAATTTCATTGATTAAGTCTTCCACAGTTTTTAACATTTCCTTTAAAAATGGCAGTTGCTTAACTGGTTCATTGCGTTCAATAATTTCTATTTCAGACATTAGATTCATTGTTTTCAAAATAAATCTTTTTTTGTTACTTTCTGAGCCCAATTGTACCAAAAATGTTTTGCGAGACTTTAAAGCCTTTTGAAAATAATATTTAGTATAGCGAAGTTTTTTAGCGGCAATCCGGTCAACAAGTGCAATAAGCTCGTCAACTTGTTTTTCTTTCTTTTTCGGGTCTTTCGTCAAGTTATCAAACAAGACGACTCTGAAACCGCATTCATGGAAGACATCGTTGATACTCCCTGACTGCCTATACAGCCATTCTCGAAAAGTAAAATCATTTTCTTCAGCTTCAAACGTGTCCCCATTAGTCATGACTAAAACGCAAAAGTGTCTCATGAAATCTTCTCCAAAAATCTGTTTCAGCATATGTATTGCATCGCTCTCTTCTTTAGTAAATCTATTTCCATACTTTGCAACTAATATGCAGGCGTTGTAGCCCCGAGGATTTATTTCAACTGCCTCTTGTAATTGTTGTATAATTTTCCTCGTAGTGCTACCATTAACTACTTCATACAGGGCGGCTGTATCTAGTACACCAGGTGTGTCCACCACGTTTAGAATCGTGTCTTTGAATTTGTTGGACTTTCTCTCTATTCCATTGGTAACAGAAGTTGATTTAGCGCTAGCAACAAATGCCTTATAGCCAAGGATAGAGTTACCAGTTGAACTTTTTCCATTGCCAGTTTTTCCAAGTAGAAGAAGGTCATATTTTCTACCGCACTATAAGAAAAAAGTAATATATATAATATAAATGAATAGCAAAAGTATTTTGTTTTATTTCTAATATTTGGAAAATATCAGGTGGAGAGAATAGGCTGTATAGATGTATGGATGAGACAATTTAACGTATAAATGTATAGATATGACACTGTTATTATTAATCTAAAATGACCGTTTACTTTAAACATTCCCGAAATTCTGCTCCAAAAATATTTTCACACCAGACAAAATATTTAACTATGGCTTCTCATTCAAAAACGTTTCTCGAAGCCTGGCATAGGCTTATTAGAAGTATTTTATACAATGTATTTATACAGCATAAGACTAAAATTTTATTTATCATATATTGTTTTAATGTACTTATAAAAAAATCATTTTCAATGCAAAGAAAAGAGTTCATTAAATTAGATGTGCATTAAAGTAAAGGTGCATTAAACTAAAGGTGCAATAAACTAAAGGTGCAATAAACTAAAGGTGCAATAAACTAAAGGTGCAATAAACTAAAGGTGCAATAAACTAAAGGTGCAATAAACTAAAGGTGCAATAAACTAAAGGTGCAATAAACTAAAGGTGCAATAAACTAAAGGTGCAATAAACTAAAGGTGCAATAAACTAAAGGTGCAATAAACTAAAGGTGCAATAAACTAAAGGTGCAATAAACTAAAGGTGCAATAAACTAAAGGTGCAATAAACTAAAGGTGCAATAAACTCAAGGTGCAATAAACTAAAGGTGCAATAAACTAAAGGTGCAATAAACTAAAGGTGCAATAAACTAAAGGTGCAATAAACTAAAGGTGCAATAAACTAAAGGTGCATTAAACTAAAGGTGCAATAAACTAAAGGTGCAATAAACTAAAGGTGCAATAAACTAAAGGTGCAATAAACTAAAGGTGCAATAAACTAAAGGTGCAATAAACTCAAGGTGCAATAAACTAAAGGTGCAATAAACTAAAGGTGCAATAAACTAAAGGTGCAATAAACTAAAGGTGCAATAAACTAAAGGTGCAATAAACTAAAGGTGCATTAAACTAAAGGTGCAATAAACTAAAGGTGCAATAAACTAAAGGTGCAATAAACTAAAGGTGCAATAAACTAAAGGTGCAATAAACTAAAGGTGCAATAAACTCAAGGTGCAATAAACTAAAGGTGCAATAAACTAAAGGTGCAATAAACTCAAGGTGCAATAAACTCAAGGTGCAATAAACTAAAGATGCAATAAACTTAAGTGCAATAAATTAAATGTGCATTGAACTAAAGGTGCAAACACTAAAAGTGCAACAAAGTAAAGGTCCATTAAACTAAAAGTGCAATAAACTGAAGTTGAAATAAACTAAGGTGCAACAAATTTAATTTGTATTGAGCTGAAGGTGCAATAAACCAAATTTGCATTAAACTATAGGTGCTTTAAATTAAAGGTGCATTCAACTAGAGTAGTACAATACATATATGTTATGTATATACTTTTTTTTTTATTATTTAACACTCATTTGAATTTTCACTTTAACAAAATATTTTAGCTAGTATATGTATTGCAAATTATTGTTCGTAGCTTTTCTTTTCCAATTAAACTTAGCTTTTATATTTTTGAAATTCAATTTTCAACCATAAACCCATTTAAAAAAACTATTCATTGATAGAATAGTTTTTGACAAACGTTTATTATGCGAAACTTTTAAAATAGTCTTAGCTATATTTTTTTAATAGAGACATTATAAAACATTTATAAAACATATTCTAAGTCTACACAATGCAATATCAATGAATTAGTCTGTGAATTCATACATATTATTATTTGAAGCAGCAAAAAAAAAAAAAAAAGTTGCATATTAACATTGGTTTGATACAATATGACAACCCACCTGGCTAAAGCGCGCTTTAATAGCATATGGAATACGTTTCTGAAGTAATGTCGATTCTTAAATTCAATACCTACCTGTGGCTCAATGTCGTCTAAATATTTCAGTTCTGATTTGTCACAGATTTCCTCAAATTTTGATATCTTATTCAGTAAAAAAAATAAAATGATTACAATCAAAATTTGAAACATCTCTACGTTATGTTGCAATGCACTAAAAATTTGTAAAAAAATATAACAATACGTTATGTTATAACAAGCACTGGATGTAAATCTAAACGTTATTGGATCGGATAAATAGACATCGATCTCACACGTAACATTGGTGTCTTGTTAAGGCAAGTTGGATAATGGTTGAACATAGCAAAAAGAGCTTTGGTTAATTAATCGATTATTTTTATTTCATTTTAATGACAAAAAACAAGGAAGAAAAAAAACCAAAAGAATGAATGAAATTTCCTGAGAAAATGAAATCTTGTTTTTTTGTTGTTTTTTTTTTGAAAGGCATTCTTTAGGAAAGTGACATACTCCGGCTCTTATCACTGCTCGAGAGGGTCCAAAGTATCATGTACTGTCTGAATATGTAATCACCATAGATTATTTAGTGCAACTTTGTTTCAAACTGGGTTCAAGCGAGATAACATATCTAAAACAATGTTAGAAAGAAAAAATTACGTACTACTCAGTTTCTTTCACTGATATACACTATATCAAAAACGTGTTAATTAATGATGTATAAAATAAACAAAAAATAGAAGGGAACTTATTGTATGTGGCATTTAAGGAGCTTATAATTCGTGTACAACGTGTACATAATATGATATTAGGAGTGAAATAAGCCATGAACTAAAATTGTTTCGCACGTTACAAATGGTACGTGTCTTATACTGAATAAATCTAAACACCCATTCAGTGGTGTATTTTGACTAAATGCTTAATTAAGACTAATTAAGACTAATTACTAAAATTTATGATCCCATCCCTAATCACTAATTGTATTTTTTAGCATAAATTAAAGAAATAATAAATTCCCTGGGATTGTCTCCTACTTGGTTCACCAAAGTACACACTTTGTGAACCCACGCACCTCCCCTTAACTATGTGATAATTCAATTTTCATATTAATGCGCCCTCACTCAGAACCACACACACATTTCTATACAACGCAAAATACTTTAGTTCTTAAATTTGTATAACAGGCATTTCCTTATATTTATATAATATGGTTCCAGATAAACTATTGTTTAAAAATATGTCAACGTTTTTGAAAGCAAACTACTCTTTGAGCGTAGAATAAAATCCTAATTAAAAGTATGTGCAACCTAACAAAAATGACCTTGACACAATCGTGTTCTTTCCAAACTCACCAAATGGCCACTCCCGCACACCTTTAATACATTGTTGGTAAATAACATTTACAAAGTGCTGCCTGAGGCCGTAGACACCCTTTTGTCACCTTCAGATATCCCATTTTTCCCGTTTTCGCCCATACGTCACAGTTTCAAACATGAAAGTTTTGGTAAGCCTAATGATAAAATTTTGTAATAAACATTAATTTAAGATCAGTACGAAATATTATCTTTCTTCCCCAAGTTACACATGTTCAAAGTTTTTTCCCCTTACCTTATTTTTTATGTTATTCTTATTACATTTCTCACCAGCTTTTTCAACATGACCATGAAATGAACCTTTGGAAAAAAAATCAGAAAATGTTTCCTTCTTTTTAGAGAATATTATTTAACCTAAAATTTTTAAGAGATTTTCTTCCTAGTGTGTCTATAACAAAGCGAGAAAACTTTCCTTTAATCATTATTTAAATGCGCAATGTTCATAATTATTACAAATGTGCACACAAAAAGATCTAATATTGAACATTACGACGCAATTTAACAATTTTTTTCTTGCTTTTAACACGGTATATTCCACCATTTTAAAATAAAGCTTGTGGGATAAATGGATTTATAATCAAACTTAATCATAAAAATCTTTATATTAGGAGATATGATTATGGGACATTTAGTTAAAAGATTCAAGGTACTTACATACGTACAAACAAACATACATGCATGCATACATACAAACATACATGCATACATACATACAAATATGCAAACATACATACATAAATATATGCACACGTACATACATATATACATGTATGCATCAATATAGACATACATAAATACAAATATAAAATACACATCCATACGCAAACAAAATAACACAAAATACATACAAAAACATCCATACATTCATACATTTTTACATACATACATACATCATACATTAATGCATGCATGCATGCATACATACATACATAAATATGCATACATATTTACAAGCATGCATACATATACACATACATACAAACATACCCAAATAGGCATACAAATTTACATACAAAAACATACATACTTACAAACATACATACTAAAATAACTACATGCATACATACATAGATACATTCAAACATGCATACATACATACATCCATCCATACATACATCCATGCATCCAATGTCCAATGGCAAAGTACCTGGCCCCGACATTATTCCTGCCGAAATCTACAAGGAGGGTGGACCAGCGCTGACGGATAAGCTATTGGGCTTATTCCAAATCATCTGGCAGACGGAAACTGTACCACAAGACCTCAAGGATGCCTCAATCATCCACCTGTACAAACACAAAGGTAACCGCCAGACATGCGACAATCACCGCGGAATTTCACTACTGTCCATTTCAGGCAAGATCTTGGCCCGAGCCCTTCTGAACCGCCTGAATGCACATCTGGAGCTAGGTCTCCTACCTGAAAGTCAATGCGGTTTCCGCAAAAAACGCGGAACCATCGATATGGTGTTTGCTGCTAGACAGCTTCAAGAGAAATGCCAGGAACAAAATACAGACCTATATACTACATTTATCGACTTGAATAAGGCCTTTGACAGGGTCAATAGAGCTGGCTTGTGGAAAATCATGAAGAAATACGGATGCCCAGACAAGTTCACAAACATCATCCGTCAGCTGCATGATGGTATGATGGCCCGAGTACAGGACAACGGTCAATCATCTCCAGCATTCCCCGTCACAAACGGTGTAAAGCAGGGTTGTGTTCTTGCTCCCACACTCTTCAGTATTATGTATTCCGCAATGCTGTCTGATGCGTTCAAGGACTCCACCATGGGCTTGCCAATCCGGTTTCGTACTGATGGATCAGTATTTAACCTTAGGAGGCTTCAAGCTAAAACCAAGGTCAAACATACCACGATCAACGAGCTTCTGTTTGCAGACGATTGTGCCCTTAATGCTCCATCAGAAGCCGTCATGCAACACAGTGTTGATATCTTCTCAGAGGCCTGCAATAACTTTGGCCTCACAATCAACACAAAGAAGACTGAGGTGATGTATCAGCCAGCTCCCAGTAAGCCCTACGTTGAACCCAACATCATCATCAGTGGACAGCGTCTCAACCCGGTGGATAAATTTACTTACTTGGGCAGCACTCTCTCTAGATCTGTCGTCATGGATGATGAAATGAATGGCAGACTCGCAAAAGCTAGTGCCCTATTTGGCAGGCTCCGCAGTACATACATACATACATACATACATACATACATACATACATACATACATACATACATACATACATACATACATACATAGATACATGCATGCATACATACATACATACATACATACATGCATGCATACATACATACATGCATACATACATACATGCATACATACATACATACATACATACATACATACATACATACATACATACATACATACATACATACATGCATACATACATACATACATAGATACATGCATGCATACATACATACATACATGCATGCATGCATGCATACATACATACATACATACATACATACATACATACATACATACATACATACATGCATACATACATGCATGCATACATACATACATGCATACATACATACATACATGCATACATACATACATGCATATATACATAGATACATGCATACATACATACATACATACATACATACATACATACATACATACATACATACATACATACATACATACATACATACATACATACATAATATGTATGTATGTATGTATGTATGTATGTATGTATGTAACATACATACATACATACATACATACATACATACATACATACATACATACATACATACATACATACATACATACATAACATACATAGATACATACATGCATACATACATACATACATAGATACATGCATGCATACATACATACATACATACATGCATACATACATACATACATAGATACATGCATGCATACATACATACATACATACATGCATACATACATACATGCATAAATACATACATGCATACATACATAGATACATGCATACATACATACATGCATACATACATACATGCATACATACATACATGCATACATACATACATGCATACATACATACATGCATACATACATACATGCATACATACATACATACATACATACATACATACATACATACATACATACATACATACATACATACATACATACATACATACATACATACATACATACATACATACATACATACATACATGCATACATACATACATACATACATACATACATACATACATACATACATACATACATACATACATACATACATACATATATACATACATACATACATACATACATACATACATACATACATACATATACATACATACATAAGTAAAATGTAACTAACAAGACTTATTGTTACTGTTTATTTTTGTCACGTGAATTATTCCAATAAGGGTTAAAAGACAAAAATCTACTAGAGTCATGCTCTGATTCTAGCACTAATAACATCAAACAAAAGCATACCAAAATATTTTTCAACTTTCACCTTTTGTACTACCCTTAATCATTAATAATATGAGATGATGATGATTATGAGGATGATGATTAAGTACTTTTATAGCGCTTTCGTTCTTTTTTTTTCGCATACTCACAGCGCTGTGATGTCCTAAAATCTATTTAAAGAAAAAAATTCTTTAAATGGTTTTTTAAATGATTTTTTTGTAATTTTTAATGTCCCTCTAAGATTGAGATGGAGTTGGTGCCAATGCGTTATAGCAGCTTGGTTTCGTCTCAAGTTTCTCATTATAAAGTTATTAGAACAAAAGACTCACTGTGTGTAGTCAGGATTAAAGAAGGCATGCTATTATTATAGAATAATATGACCTCATGTAAAATCGAACCATTTGTGTCTATTCACTATGCACGAAGCGTTGGTCTACAAGAGTACAATGCGTACTTAATACAAGGTATTCAGAATATTCAGTATATACGTATACAGAATTTATCAGTTTATAAGCAAAATATGTATAGCCAAATGACAACGATGATAAATCTGTAAGTCTTAGTTTATAAAGTCACATTTAAATTTAAAATAAAATTATGGTTATAAAGATAAAAATCTGTTTATTTGGATTGAAATTTTCTCTACACACTTTATTATTACATAAATTAGTCCTACTAATCCTAACTTCTCAAACATTAGGAAGCAACAACAAAAATTAATTTTTTTATTCTTGTATCTGGTTAGCGTTCATCAAGAGCTCGATCCTGATGATACTTAACATCTTTTCATAGAAGATTACAAGACAAGCTTCGTCCTTGGTCACTTTTAGGATTCGTTGGGTAATGTTTCCCATTAGACAGAGCTTCCTGTAAAATAATTTATATTTATTATAATCATAGTATTTCTTTTAGCATGAAAGGCGAAATGAATAAATAGAGATATATTTTTAAAAAGTTGACGCTAACCGTAGAGTGATTTTTTTTATCATACTATGTTATCATTTAAATTGCAAGAAAACATATTATCAACTAACATAAGCTTCTGAAATATATATAATGATTAAATATGGACATACAATAATAAATGAGACGAATTAGGTTTTAAAAAAAAAATCTAACTTGATAAAATCGTTACGAACATGTATGTAATTATATTTGGGGTTGTTTGTTTATTCTTTGTATACCTCATGTACGCTATTTTCTTTCACTCTAGCGTCTTTCAATTTGGATTGCAAATCAAGGAAGGACAATATCATACTTTCTATTTCTTTCTTCAGTTCAAATGCCACATTCTCAGTCTTTAACAATTCCTCATTTAATTTGGTGAACTTTGCAAATGCTTCCTCTATTTCAGATAGCAGTTTTGTTGACAGTTGTATCGTGATAAATTCTTCATTTTGCGAAGCGGTCTTCACATCAAGCTGCCCATTGTCATATTTCTTTTGAGGTGGGCTCTTAATTTTGGTATTCCCACATCCAATGGCTGATTTCACTTCATCCAAGAGCACTCGTAAATGGACACTTTCGGGTGAACATTCTTTTTCCAAAAGCTGTTTTTCTAATTCTTTTTGTAAGTCAATCAAGCCTTGTCTATCAAGGCCTTCTTTACTCATTTTATGGAAACGATCTCTGAAATCCTTTATCTTTGTTTGAGTATCTGCCGCCATGTCTTTTTGACGTTTTCTTTGAATCAATTTCTCTTTCCCATCAAAATCTTCAAACTCCTTTAAAGTATATTTGCTGTTGGATTTTGTTTTCATTGAATCCACTTTTTGAAAAAGGTTTAACCTTTGATTTTGTTTCTTGTCCTCTATTTTCAGTTTATTATCAAATAGAACGACTCTTCTTTGGCAGTCTTCATAAACCTCTTTCATTTTCCCAGTCTCTTCATCCAACCATTCTTCAATTGTATGAAAGTTTTCATTTCCACTGTCAACTTGTCTCTTAAACATGTCACCATTTGTGAAGACGCATATTCCAAACCTACTCAAGACACCCTCACCAAAAACAGCTTTAGTAGCCAGGATGACATCCCCATCTGCCTCAGTAAATCTTTCACCGAATTTCATGATGATTAAAAAGGCTGAAATCCCATCAACATATGCAAGAGCTTTTTCAACCTCTGTAAAATCAGCAGCCTCCCTAATTTCAATAACATTCAAACCGTCTATAGCACTAACATTGGTACCTTCCTCTGTTACCATGCTTTGAACATCTGGTTTGATTGGCCCTGAGCTAATATTAGGTTCAGATTTATTTAATATGGAGTTAAAGGTTGCAGTTTTCCCGACTCCACTTTTACCAATCAGCAGGAAATTTTTCGATATCGACGTCATTTTTAAAAAACGCTGAAATGGAAAAAAAGTGAATGAAAATGAATATTTTAAATAAATTTTTGATTGGTTTAAGCTTTGGTAATTATAAGACATATGTTTTGAAGGAATTCTGTTTAAAAACTTTTATTAAAGATATCATAAATATGCTTTTATACAGCAACTTTGGGAATTTAAAAAGTAATTAAGTTATTCATTAATATTTATTTGTGATATTTACAAAGAACTAAACATAACATACACAAAGGAACATAGCTATGTTTAAAGAACATGAGAGAATAATACAATTTTATTCAAATTGATTAGATCCAAAAATAAAATTGATGAACTATTAATTTAATTTAAAATTAATTATTTTTTTAATCAAAGGATTAAATTTACTTGAAATAATGTTAATCATATAAATTACATTGCGATGCTCAGAAAAATAAAAAAAAATTGTAAAAAAAACAAAAAACTCACTATGAAACTAAGAACAATCCTCGCGTGATCATTAAATGACAAGAAGAAGCAATGCAGACACGCCTGGCCACCACAAGTTGTAGGAGTGACGATAAAATGAAAGGCTAGCCGGCGATTAGTTTCCTTCGGCTTTTAAGGGCGGGTGCAGAGATAAAGCAATGCGTTATAAAATAGAGGAGTGTTTTTCATTAATCAAACAAAACCTAACAATTTTTCCGTATAAATCCTTTAGATGTATTTTTGTTTGCATTTTTGTAATTGTACGTGATGCATCATCTATGAGATTGTAGCAACTGATTTTTAGCATGGGGTTGTTTTTTTTTTTTATCAAACTTAGTACATGTAAAACATAAGAGACTAAAGATATAGTTAAACCTAAAGAAAATAACATGAGCTACACAATTCGTCTCCACAACAAAATGTGCAATTATACCATTGAAAATTCATATTTTATTTATGTTGAAAAACAGGAGAAACGGATTTTTGAGTGTTGGATGTGGGACTGAAAATTTAATAGCATGTGTTGTCATCAGAAGAGAGTCTACGTGCCAAGTTTAAGATCGATAGGATGAGGGGAAGTGGGTCTATTAGCGTTCCGAAGATTATGACACCAATGACCGAACACGCAAACAAAATCTAAGTTATTTTAAATGCTTTACAATGAAAGAAAAATAGAATATGAATCCATGAAGGGTAGATGTTCAAAATTGGAAGGAAGGAAGAGAGATACTATAAATAAAATTAAGAAGGAAAAATACGTTTTCTCTTGTTGTTACATTTTTTAAAAAAATGATAGACCAATGGTACGCTTTCAAAATATATATTTTACTTAAAGAATCAGAATTCATATTTTTTTTTTTAAAAATGATAACAATATCATTTGAAATTGTATTATTACTTGTATTTAAAGCAATCCCAACAATAGCAATCATGTTACTGAATTGTGGCAATACCGTCGGTTGATGCTTTGATAGCAATCGATGCCAGCAAGTTATTGGTATCGCATTCCCTTTACAATACGAATTAATGGACTAGTTAGTCAGTTGTGTTTCCTTAAAATTTTAATTATAACTTTTATAAACTAAATATAATACACTTCTTAAATTGTCGACAAGTTTTGTAACACCTGTTAATTTATATTTTGTTTTACATATCTTTTTAATTTATTAAAACAAAATAAAATAATGAAAAAGGGGGGGGGGGGACAAATTGAAATTCTTATTAAGTACGTAACTTGTAAGCATTTTTTGTCAAATTTCCACCCCCACCCCCCCCCCCCCCCACAATAGCTCGATATTACATTTTACTAAGGATTTATTAGGAACACATTGGCTTTTATGGAGGTTATTACATTTCGTTTAATTTTCATGTATCTTTTAATTAACATTTCCTTTGCGGTTTCTTAAAATAGGGTCCACTAAAAGTTGCCTGGGTGTCTATCAGCTAAACTTCATTTTTGATTGAATAAAATGCATTTTAAAATTCAAAAGAAGTGGGCCGCAGACTTGACCTGCATGACAAAGGTAAAGGTGGCCTTTATCTGACAAAAGGACACAAGGACGAATAAAAATGGTTAAGAACTCATTGGTGACATGATAACGCAATGCTTTATCTCAAAATAAAGTTTTTGAGAAAATCAGCCTTCCTGGACCTAGAAGTGAAAGAAATTTTCTCTTGGTCAACAGTATTAAAAAGCTTTGGAGGTTTTTTTTGGTTATTCAAAGTCATTTAGATAGAAAATTAGAATGAGACGTTACTCCAACTGCTTATATAAATAAATTAATTAATTAATGTATATATTTTTTTTTTCTGTGCCCCTAAACAATGGAATTCTTTGTCACTACAAATCCGCAATATACCAACCATCCAGGCCTTCAAAACTGCACTCAAAACACATCTCTTTAAATTATACTATCCTGACTGATTCCCCTCCTCTGACCGATAAATGATTTTGTTGGCTGCCGCCCATGGTTTGCCTTGTAAAAATCCTGGGGTTCATGCTGTTCTTTATTTCATAATTGTATTTGATTTTAATGTCATGATTATTTCTCTTTTGAAAATACTTTTATGTACAGCGCGGTGAGCACAGCCATAGGCTGTGGTACCTAGCTATAAAAGGCGACTAATTACTATATATATATATATATATATATATATATATATATATATATATATAAGTGAAATTTTGTGGGTTTGTTGTGATATATAGATATAAAAGGAGACTAATTTATATATATATATATATATATATATATATATATATATATATATAAGTGAAATTTTGTGGGTTTGTTCCACAAAGGCTTCTACATGGATTGATGGATCTTGACCAAACTTGGCACATACGTCCATCATTATCCAGAATGAACTCTTAAGGGGTTATAAATGTTTTTCCTTACATGAGCTTTAAAAAAATAACTAGAAACAAATACTCCTACATGAGTTGATGGATCTTGACAAAACTTAGTACACATATACTTTATTATCCATATTCAAGTACCGAAGGGTACTGAACTCATAATATCCATACCTCTGGGGCCGGGGGGGTCAATTTCGTTTTTCCTTATATAAGCCATATATAACTATCAATCGGCTTAGACAATTATATAGTTTCTATGTGAATTGATGGGTATAGGCCTAATTTTGTTAATTACGCTGCTTAGTCCGTATTAAAAAATATCGGTGGATTTAAAACTTATAATATCCAATCTAGAATTTTCCAGAAAGTTCGATAATTTCAAACAGCTATATCTATGGTATTTTAAAGTAGATTTTAATGGGACAAATTTTAAATTTTAACTCTATTATTTATCTGTTATGGTGGACTAGCGGACTGGACAGTACCGATAGCCAGCCAGGTGTAAAAGCGCGCATGCGCAGAGACACGGGAGAGAGAGTGTGTGTTTATGAACCGTGATCCGGACGCATGCAGCAAGTCAACAACCGATTGAGAACTTGTATAATTTATGTAATATTTGTTTATGTTACTTGTTTGAAATAAAAAACATTTAAAACATAAAAAATGGTGTCCAGTATAAACATCACAGTATGGTATCGACCAGTATCAACAATACAGTATGATGGTCAGTATTAACTCAATACAAAACGCAGTACAACTCAGTACAACCGAGTGATAGTTTGGTACAAACGAGTGACTTCACGGGACGGAGGAGGTAAACACACAATGGCGGAGTCAAATCTGACCCAAAGTGACATCATCCAAAAGCTAATACAGCAGAAATAGCTACTGTTGAAACTAGCAACAGGTAATACGGCTACTAATATGAAGTTTACACATTTCAATAGTAACGAGGAAACGTTCACAGACTACTACAGCTAGGATCAGACAGGATTCAGCCACTTGCGAGTTTAGTAATATCAAAAATCCTCTAGATGAAGCTTTACGAACAAGATTCATGTGCTCTGTAAAGAATGAGGCTGTATTAAAAATTTTGTTTGGGATGAAGGACACGGAACTGTCATTCAACAACGCAGTAGAAATAGCTGTTGAAACAGAGGAGGCAGCGAAATGTGCCAAAGAAACAGTCCATGAAGGAACGCCTATCAATAAAATTCAGACACTAAGAAGCAACATCAGACAGCAGAGAAATTTTCTTTATCTCAAAGACAAGATTTTCCGAGTGGAACTTGTGGCAGGTGTGGAGTAAGAGGCCATAAAGGAAATGTCTGCAGGTACAAAGACGTGATCTGCCGCTTTTGCCACAAGAGAGGACATCTCGAAAGAGTTATTCTTAATAAGAAAGAGAATGCTCCAAAACAGAAACCAATTCATCTCAAAAGAATAAGAAGGCAAAACCAAATAAAAACTATCCCACCCATTATTCAAGAACTAGTTTTAGAAGGAAAGAGGTTTGCATTCGAAATTGACACCGGAGCCGGAGAAAATTTTATGTCTGAATCTGTTTGGCGAAAGCTGGGACAATCAACCTTGAGTCCAGGGTCGTTTAAGTAGGAGTCAGTGTCTGGTGACCTAATTAATGTTTTGGGGAGTGTGCAGATTCATGCTGAGGCAGGGGAAATAACTGCAAATTTGTCTTTTGTAGTAGTGAACAACCACAGCTTAAACTTGTTGGGAATAACTGCAATAAAGAACCTCAAGATTTCTATAGACACAGTATTTCAAACAAAGGATAAATTACGTTAGTAATCAAAACTCATCGATTAAAGCTCGTGAACAAATCCGTAAGTCAACTGAACATTGCGATGCGGATGCTCTTAGTTGTGTCCCCTCAGGGCATGATGACAATTTTTGATGTTGAAGAAAATGAAGCAGACATGGATTCTGTATTATGATCAAACAAATCAGTTTATCAATCAGACCAACAGACCCAGGAGTCCTTGCTAAAGAGTCACTTAAAGATTCTACTGTGTCTACAGTAAGAAGATATTGTCAAGAGGGCTGGCCGTCCTCTACAAACAAAGAACACCTGAACAAGGATGCTGCTAATATAGCAACTTTTAAAAATATTCAAGACTCACTCTCCGTGGCGTCGAATTGTCTATTTTATGGTTCAAGAATTGTGGTTCCAAAAATACTACAAGCTCAAGTTCTCCAAATCCTGCATACAAGACATTTTGGAATCGAGCGGATGAAACAGTTAGCCAGATCTTATGGCCCGAACTTGATGCTCAAATCATAGAGATAGTTCGAACATGCCAAGCATGTGCAGAACACGCCAGAGACCCAAACAAAGCAAGTATCCACCCATGGATGTTGCCAGAAAAACCATGGAGTCGAGTTCATATCGACCATGCCATTAGCTTTAAGGGATCACATTCGTTGGTGGTGATAGATGTTTATTCAAAGTATCCGTGTATCCACAGGACAACATCTACATCGACCAAAGCCACCAGTACCTTCTGGAGGAAGATTTTGCTCATTTCAGCTATCCACACACCATAGTCAGTGACAATGCTACTATCTTCATCTCGGAAGAATGTCAGCATTGGTGTAAAGAGAGGGGTGTTGTACATCTCACAGGCGCTCCCTATTATCCTGCTACGAATGGAGCTGCCGAACGACTGATTCGAAGTTTCAAGAGTTCACTAAAGAAATCCGCATTACCTTTA